AATTTTCGTATGGCTGTTTTATGGCTTACCCAGTTTATGATCGTTACTCTTAACATCCTTTTGGGAATCCTGTTTGTCCTGGCAAACAAAGACTTTTGTGGAAGCGTTTTTGAAACTCAAGTCGGTGAGTAAATCATGACTTAAAATGAAAAACCAAAACAAAAAAATGAAAAAAACCATTCTTATACTCTCTTTCTTTTAGCTGTTAACTACAAGGAACGTATTTTTCCTTTCAGACTATGCCTTGGTGGGTCATGTTATCCAGACAAATGTTGTTGCGGACGAATTTGAATGCCAGTTAAAATGTATGGGAAATAACAGCTGTAAGTCGATCAATCTTCATCCCGGTGACAGCAACGGAAAACGTAGCTGTGAGTTGAATAATAAAACACGGCAGATGAAGCCAGGTCATTTTAAAAAGCAGAAAGGATCTACATACTATGGCTCTGTTCAGGTAGGTTCTAGGTTGAGCAGATTTGTTGATAACTTTCCTATGTTATTCACTGCCAAGAGCAATGTTTCGGAACTATTGTTGTAGACTAATGAAAACTGATAGAATCAATTGTTATTGGCATACAAGTAGGCGTTTATTTCGTAAACAGAACACCAGACAGTGAAAAATCTCGGGCAAACATTTCTCCAAGCGAGTCTTAACTATCTTCATCATTTTGCAATTCCCGTTTTGCAATAACCTGCGAACCAAAAGGTTTCTTTCCTGCTTGTATAGCGTGTTCTGAGTGTTGTCAGGAGTGTGAGGGTAACGTCAAATTTCCTTTTTGAAAACGCACATTGAGCGTCTGAATACTGAAAACGAGAAAAAAAGCTTTGTTTACTCTGAACAACGATCGATGACAGAACGGGAAGCAAAAAGTTCACCTTTCTGTTTTACTAATCAGGCTCAGGCCTCCTGCATGGATGTTTCTCGTGGGCGAAAACAAACAACTAAAAGAGGCCAGTGTCATCCAGGATACAAAGGAAAACATTGTGAAACAGGTAGGTGTTGAGACTGTTCTAGAAAAGTTCTACTTTAGACGTTGCCAAACGAAATACATGACTATTAATTGCAATGAGGGTGGTGGAAATTTTCAATTGGGGACTCCTTTTAAAACCCATTTCTGAAGATAAATGCAGAAAGTCATGTTCAAGTTTGCACATAGCTTTATCCCCTTTTTCCAGCGTCTTAGCTGGTGTGTGAGGATTAATAAGCCCATCAAGATCAAAGCTCATTTCCTTTTCAGCTACCAGAGACTTATATTACAATCAGCCTGGGTATTCCCGTAAGGACATTCGAAATTATTTTTGCAATTGACCCTGAACCATGACACTAAAAAATAAAACATATTTAAATTCTCAGCTATACCTGGCTGGTCTTTCCGTTATCCTGCTTTGTCATGCAAGCACATTTTGGAAGCTGGGGACTCTAAAGGAGACGGGGAGTACTGGATCGACCCTGAGAAAAATGGAAGTTCCTTAAAAGTATTTTGTGACATGACAACTGATGGAGGTAAGCACTGTAAATAACTCGTTTCTGCAATATTGGCTGTGTATAGAACAGAGGCAAACCTTTGTGGTGTATAAACCTGAGGAAAAAAAAAACCATTGCAAAATGATTAAATGCAGCAAAAACGTTCAAAGAATGCTACTGGCAAACGAGGACAAACGAAAACATCTGTTTTACTGGAGGAGTTAAGGTATGGCCCGCACTTTATATGAAAGTTTCGAAAGGCTGCCAAACCAGTAGGATTTTTTAGAGTAGTACGAGCTGAAATACAGCGAAAAACTCCGGCTTGTGGTCAAAGCAGGGTTTCAATCTGGAGCCACTGAGGTGATAACAAGCGAACAAAACCATTCTACTATCTTGTCTTCTTTAAATAGATAAGGCCGGTAGGTAGAGGGAGAGAAAATACCTTTGTGCCGTGGCGCAAAGGCATAACTAGAAGTTGCTCATTTTTTTATTGTAAGAACAACAGAGGTTCATCGAGGAGCTCTTTCCGTTCTGCCAAGAAATGCGATTCACATTTTCTTTCTTAATGTTTGGCAGGAGGCTGGCTCCTAGTCTATAACGTTATTGCTGGGGGAACTGTGCCTCCAAGCAATTTGAATATTGAAAACACATATGCAGGAGTCAGTCGTTACAGCAGCAACAGAATGGTTCTCTCCCCTGACGGTATGCGAGAGCTGAGATCCCGCATATCTTTCACTCAGCTGAGATTCCACTGCCGTAAAGAGCAACATGGACGAACGTTTCATGTCAAAACGGTCGCGAACAGCTCTGGTGAAGCTGTAGCCAGGTTCTTTGCTGGTGATACCATCGTTTTTCCCAAAGCCTGTGGCTCATTTGAGAAACTTAAAGGAGACAAGTCAGTCCTTGCAAGTAGATGCGTAGAATGGGGGAGGGAAAACGGCACGTATCATGTTGGAAAATGGGGGCATGAAGGGCATAAGGAGCTTTATATATACTCAGCATTCATTTGGCGATATCATCATTGGAGCACGTCGCCTGGAAAAAACCTCTGGCAATGCGATGACTCGGCCAACGATCTGTCACGCGGCGACTTTTGGAATATTTATGTCCGTTAATTAATGTAACGCTTTCCGACTCTTTAGTGAAAACTACCGCAACTGACGTAGAAGCAGCTAACAAAGATACGTTAAGATTACAGCGTCATGAACCTTTTAGCTTAAGATTTTTGCGCCTGTCGAAAATTTGTTCTTTTTCCATGAATAGCAACCTCCTCATATTGAATATACAACTCATCTTTTAATAACCGAGTTAATTTTAAAGATCTTTAAATCAACTTATCCACTTAACACTTTGGAAAAAAAAGTTAATGTAATATCTAAGTAACAGCGTATCGAAAGGCACCATTGTTGTATTCTCCCTCTCTCGGGAATTGGAATTTGTTGGATGTCTTAAACACTATTACTAAACTTATATGTATTGTTATGGATGGGAAGAATCGCAATATACACCTGAAGCACGTCACTCAAGTTGTCAGGGGCATGGACTTTATGCAGCCCGCACTCTTTGCGTGTTTTACTATTATAACAATAAGTCGGCATACTATAACACATTTTGTATCGATTATCGACCATTCAGGGATGAGATGTTTTGTTGTGAATACAATATAACAATTTATCAGTCCAATTAACCTTCCCTGCGACTCCTGATAAGATCATTCAATCTTTTTTACTGTAAATAGGTGTATTCTCACATGTCTTTTTAAGAATGTTGTTCATCGTGGATTTTCAGATAAATTAAAGCCAAGAAGTACACAATGAAGTATGTAAAAAGCAAAATACGTTAGTTAGACACGAGTCGAAAGGAGCTGGAATTTAGAGCACTTAGTGCAGTTGGTATTTTCCAAAATAAATTTAAGCTCCACAGATTATAGTGCTGTGTATGATTCTCTTTTAGCCTTGTCATCATGAAAACAATAGTTCAGTTCATTCATGGTTACCTCCACCAGGAACGATTTGCTTATATTGTTGTTATTTGTGTTTTGCTTTGTTTTAATTTTTTTCCTGCGGATCCTTAGACTTGGGAATAAACACGGTACTTAGCTGACAGTTTCCATTTTTGTTTTCATTTTTACTCACACATTATTATTAAGGCATTGAAAGCGAAGGTGTAAATCAACAGTAATGAACTATTTTTGGGACTTCCCCACATGGTCACGTATGGCGGGATTTGGATCAATTTGAAAGAAAATTTTTTTTTTCCAATTGCCCCCTCCCCTCCCCTCTCCTTACTTTTGACCATTGCTCACCCCCTTGGTGTGATTTATTTCTCGTCCCAGCTTTTCGTTTCTGTGAAAATTGAAGATGGCAGCTATGATTTTTTCTGAGAAGACACTGAGCACTCGTTCCCAATATTACGCCTGCTCTGTTGGTTAGAGAATTAGAGGAAGCTGTTTCTTTTCATTTTTTCATTTACAAATTTTATTTTCATTGAGTTTTCAAGAAGTCTCCCTTTACATAACTTGGTTATTCGAGATTGATAATTGAAATTACTTAAACAGCTGAGGTATCACAAAAATTAAAAGACATCAATTTTGCTACACTTAACAAATTTTAGTGGGTAAGTGGGGACTGTCTCCATTTCCAGGACACCTAGGTCTGTAATTTCTCCTTGATTAAAGGGAAAGTTTCTTGGTAGCGAGGATGTCTTTTGTTTTCAGTGGAACCACACAATACAATGATTCCAAAAGCTTCGGTTATATTTTCCTATCAGTCTGAGCCAAAAAAGGCGAAATGTTGATTTGTTTCCGTCTTTAGCGGGTGAAAGGAAACAATAGATCAACAGAGAGCTAGGTATTAGTGACAATACACGCGTTCAAAGTGAGAGAAAGTTTCAATTGAGTAACGAAAGTGACCCTGCGGCTGGATTGCTTTTGATCTGGAAATTCACGCTGCTATCTCAACGAATCAAGTACAAAGCTAAAACCAATGCCACACGCGTTTTCCCGCGCTTAAAATAAGTTGCCGATTTTTATTTTGTGGTCCCATTGGATAATTATGATATTAACATTTGTTCTGATCGGTAGTTGTGATTATTTTGGTTTTGGTTTTTTCGACACATGGATTGAAAACTGTTTTATGTGAAGTTCAAATATTTTAACGAGTAGAAATATAAATAGAATCACTAATAGTGTGCGATCGATGTTCGTTTGCTTTCGTGATCATCATTCGTGTTTTAAATAAGAAATTTAGCGCGTTGCAAATAGGAGTACGTTTACTTTCACTTTTTGAAGCGGTCTAAGTTCTGCGCATGAACAGACGTTGTAATAGCCCACGGTTTTTCTTTAACGCTGTCAGGATCAAGTTATCTCTCAATGAGTCACTGTGTCTTAAAAGCTTATAACTTTCATGAATTTCAAACAACTGGACACACTGTAAGCAAATAACCTTTGCGTGCGAAGTCTTGAGTTTTCTAGTTCCCTATTTCCATTTCCTTATACAGTTTTCTAGGAACGGAATTTTAGGTCACAATGGTCGTTACTTATGTTTTCCTAATAAAATTTTACACGAGAAATGGGCGCACGGTCAGCCAAGATTGACTCATTCGCGCATGCCTTAAATGTGGCCGCTGAATTGCATTCGCCGGCTGGTGTTTTGGACAGGTTGCAAAGACTCATCTCCGTGACAAGCAGGATGAGGCCTGACTACAACAGTACAAGTAAGCATATTACTATATTCATCTTCTCTCTGAACTGCTGGTTTAACAGAGCATGAGCAAACGGATTGACAGCAGAATTAAACAAGATCATCGTAATAGTGATATTGAAGGGAAGGGTCCGATGCCGTAGGACTCGACATACCAGAGGATAAAGACAAGTTCATTTCTGAGCCAATAGATTCCAAAGATAGCACGGACAGTGATTACCATCAACGTGACTCACTTCTGCACCTTAGTCAAACCCTGCAAATTGAAAATTGAAGAGTTCTTGTCACCAAGTGATTTTATCGACTTTTAATTCAGCCGGTGACTTGCTGTTTTTTTATGTAATGCTAGATTGAGTGAAACGCCATAAAAATTGTTTCATCTTGTGTCAAATCAAAAAAAAAAAGGAAAGAATGAAAATTTGTTTTCAATTTGTTTCTTCCTTATATGGACTAACTTGAAATAAGGCACTATCCACCTCTTTTACTCTTCAAAGATCAAAACCTATTAGCTGCTGCAGAGTCAGGTTGTCCCGGGCATTACTGCGATTCCTCCAAGGGGTGTACACGACTCTGGAATACATACCAACCATAGGTAACAGAGACAAAAAAACCAAAATCAACAGCGAATAAGCCTTTGACATCCACAACTGAGGCTAGAGCGCCATGTAGGAATTGCCACTTTCCTCATCAACACCGGAAAAAAGGAGCAGTGGTATATTGAAAATAAACGAACACACCCAAGAGGAAGACATGATCACCTGAAAGACAGAGCTCGTAATGAATGAAGCGCGCCCACCTATCGAGTTAAAATCAAACACAGAAAGTCATACCTTTAGATTATCTTTGATGAAATTCCTTTGTCGCCAGATGGATAGACAATCACGTAAAATCATTCGAAGGCAATAACAACCAGATTGATCACGGAAGAGACTCCACCGACCCATGCAATAATTCCATCTGTTAGAAATTTGCACAAAAATGAACCAATAGTTCCTTGTGAATGGGAAACAGTCAAGGTGATAAACATTTTTGCAGCCATGAAGGCTGCCTACAGGATGTCTGCTGCTAGGTTCACAAGGAGATCATTTGTGGGATTCCTTAAAAGAAATTCAAACTGAAATGTGTCAGTCGTCTCAACTAAGACTCAAATATTGTCCATTATAAGCTTTGAAATAACCTGAAGAAAAACCTAACCCTTGTTCTGTTCACAAGCACCTCAATCTTCTACAAAAGTAGGCTCCCACACACTCGACACTTTACACAGTGCCTCTCTCTACCCAGGAATAGACAGAGGTAACTTCTTTGTAGGTTCAGATGGACTGGAGTGAGAGAGGGTGGGGAGGGAGAGTAGCCATACTCCCAATCGCCTTATGCCTCTTAAACTAGGACATACTGTAGCTAGAAAGGCTCTGCTGGCTCGTAATACGACTTTTTTTTTAGCATTGCTTGACAAACAAACAGACGTCCTGCTTTAAATCACGGACATAATACTCCTCTGGCTACTAGGGTTATTTCTGTCTTTTTCCTTTTACGAGGTAATGTTGTTTCGCGCTGTTTAATACCACGCTCCGATCATACGATGGCAGACATCTAAAAGCCAAACAAAGTGCATCTAAGGTACCAATCATAACACCAAAAAATATTGAAGAGGCTCAGGTGATATCCTCAGTCGCCATGGTTGCAGTGACGATATGGTTTACTTGTAGAAGATTTTAATGGTATGACCACTGAGTGCTGTGAATACAATATATATATATATATAGGAAGTCTGCAAGTCGATTTTCGCGTGGAACAGTGCTCAATACGTTGAAGCAGAGCAGAATAAATATTATGAGAGGAAAAAAGGAATGATGCGGTGTGAGTTACAGCTGTATGAACAACACCAAACAGGTCATCGACAACCACAACAAGCGCATCTTACACTCGTCCCACTCATCTTACACGAAAGACAACAAAGACGGCACGGGAACCAACAAACATGCAACTGCCGACAAAAGAACAATTGCCCGCTCAATGGTAACTGCCTTCAATCCTCAGTCGTTTATCAAGCCACCGTCACACCATAGTTAGTAGTACTACTACTACTAACTATGGTCACACGGAACGACAACAACACCTCTGAAACATATATTGGACTCACAGAAACCGACTTCAAAACAAGACACAGAAATCACACCGCATCATTCCGCCACGCCAAGCACAAAAACTCTACCGAACTTAGCAAACACATCTGGACACTCAAGAACGACAACATTGACTATTCTATTTCATGGCGCGTCTTATCATCTAACTCTCCCTACAACAGCTCCAGTAAAAGATGCAACCTCTGCCTAAAAGAAAAATTCCTGATAATTTACCGACCCGACCTCTCATCACTAAATAAGCGTAACGAACTCGTATCTTCATGCCGACACAGAAACAAAGCGTTGCTACGCAACAGCTGAACTTTAAAGTTTTTAAGTTTACCGCGTATTATGTAAATTTTCCTGGTATATAAACGATAGTCACATGAATATTCTTTCATTAAACCCCTGAAGAGTGAAGCGATTCACGAAACAGGCTTGTCGGGAAATGTAGTTGCGTCCTTTTTTCCTCTCATAATATATATATATATATATATATACTTTTTAGAAAAAGGAGAATCCTGTCATTTTATTTACATCTTTTTAAAATATTTTCTTCCTTTTTTATTGCTAAGAGGTTGGCTTCCGATGTATAAAGTTATAATAAACCAGTCGCCTCCCCGATCAGTTTGGATGTTGAGAAGTCATACAATGGTATCAGTCGTTACAACCACACCAAGCTGGTTCTTTCACCTGACGCGCGGTATGCGAGAACTGAGAACAATCTCGCTTATCTATCAGCCGAGACTCCACTGCTGTAAACGGCAACATGGACGAACTTTTCACGTCAAAGCAGCCGCTAACGCTTCTGGTGGAGTTGTAGTCGGATTTTTTGGCGGTTATACCGACGTTTTTCCCAAAGCCTGTGATTCATTTGAGAAACGTAAAGGAGACAACTTAGTCCTTGCAATGCGTAGAATGGGGGATGGAAAAGGGCGCGTATCGTGTTGGAAAATGGGGACACGAAGGGCAAAAGGAGCTGTCTTTATACTCAGAATTCATTGTGGGTAGCCATCATTGGATTACTTGGTCAGGTTCTAACATTGCTGCATCTGGTGACTTCTGGAGAATTTATGTCCTTTGATAACTTTGTTGTCACTTCTGCCTTCTGGAACATTTTCTATTTACTTTTGAGACGCTAGCATTCAGTACTACGATGTAAGAAGTTGCTGCATGTTAAATAGTAAATTATCTTTCAAAATATTGTCGATTAGAGGAAGACTTCATTACGTTAATTCAGGCGCAAGTTCTTAAAGTTGGCAACGTTTTGCGGGTACTGAAAGTTGGACATTGCAATATTCTCCTAGTACTGAAGGTTGTAACTTGCAAATCTTTTGGGTAACTTTATTCAATATCTTGATGTAATACATTGTATCAGCGAATTAATTTGGCTTTAAAGTGCAAAGTCTCCCGTAGAGAGTCGTTCCGCTTTCGAGTTTTGTCACCCAATCAAATGAAGAAGAGAACGTACGAATGTTATCAACTCTTGGAGAATTGAAAAAGGACCCAAACTGAGAAGTAATGCTGTAGATTGTTTCCAAAACTTAAACAAAGAGCACTGGGAATAAATCCGTAAATAATGAAAAAATAATGATTTGTTATCATCAACAGTATTCAAAGCACATCAGGTTGATGAGGTCTTGGAAATCAGTGAGAATATCTTAAATAGATTCAGTTCCAATTACATGACACAAAGCGAGGTTAAAAATCCCAGCTGATTAAAATAACGAAAATACAATTTTCCCGAATGTTTTTAAATTTTATTCATATCAACATTGAATTAATTGTCATTGAAACTGAATAGTGATTGCAATGAGGCAATATTTCCTTTTTTACAGCTTTGAAAAAATTTGAGGATCTAAGGATCAAAGGAATGAGGTTTGAATGACTGTGAACGTAACTGCGGACTAATAAATGAAGATAAGAGTGAATCACACTCATCTTCATGGAATGACGTTTGAAAAGAAACCAAAAGAAATTCAAAATTTTTAGGGTATGATGACATATGGAAAAGGAAATATATTTTATTATCACTAAGAGCAGGTGTTGGCAGTTATATTCATAGCCCCCTCGCCTGGCTAGTCTTAACGATGATAGTAAGAAAACAAAAATTGCTATGAAATTGTTGTTAGGGTTTAAGAAAAAACACAACACTGACAATAATGCACAAAATATTTTAAAAAAAATTCCTGGTGGGTGATTGAATCTCCTTTGTTTGCGCCAAGTGGGTGATAATTAAATGATAAGAAAGAAACTTTTTTGTTTAAGTTTTTTTGGTTGCTTTCAGTTTCATTGTAATTAACTTTGAGCTTAATTTACCCTTGGGATGTAAACTATAAAACTATAGTGCGGTACGTAAATTATTAGGAAGCTTTGTTTATTTAATCAATTGTGAGAAAACCAACTAAAAAACAAAACAAGGTTGCGGAAAGAATTCAAAAGGCAGAGTTCATACGCAAAATATAATTTCTTTCGGTGCAACCACCGCTCCTCTGTACAAAACATTGAAATCGCTCTTTTGTAAAAGCTGCTGTTGAAAGAGTTTTGATTAAGTTACTACAAGAGTTCAAGGGAAGCCTTTATCAGTCAATGGCTAATACGGGTCCGATTCAGTTGGCCTTTACAATTCTTATCATCTCCTGCCTGATTTTATCTGTGATGGCAAACTCTGACTTATGCGGACGTGTCTTCGAAACCCAAGTTGGTAAGTAAAAAAACGAAAACCCGTAGAAACTATTACTTCTTTTTTTCTTTCGATTTGTCAGACAAGCACAAATAGGGCAGTAGCGATATTCACCAGTTCTTAAAAGATTTTCATGTACTCATAACTCCTAGATCATATTTTTGTTGGTAATCTTATGGAAAAGAGTGTTGTCAAAAACGAATTTGAATGCCAGCAAAAATGTATCGAGAATGAAAGCCGCTGTAAATCGTGTAACGTTTACCTGGAAGAGAACAATGTTATTTGTGAGCTGAACAACAAAACTCGACTGATGAAAGCAGCTGATTTCAAAAAGAGAAGGGGATCTACTTACTACGGTTTGGTGCAGGTACGTTCAGTTGTTTGCATGAATTCCTTTAAATTACGTTTTCTTGGTTAATACTTAAATTCATTAATCGGCGATCTTAACAACTCCCGTTACACAAAGTCGAGTTTTCACTCTTGGACTACTGGAAATATATATTTGTTTGTTTGCTTGTTTGTTTTACCTTTTTCAACAAAGTTCGAAAGGCAAAATACGATTTCTTCGTGTTTAGTGCTTACCTTGTCATCGATATTTATTTCGAGCGAGGAAATGAATTGACGAATAATTTTTGCAGTTAAACAGTGAAACTCGTTAAATAGAATTTCTTCTAAATACTTTCCGTGCTTATCAATTTAACAGCGGTGCCTAATGGAACTTAATTCCTGTCGTTGCAAAGTCCACAAAGAGTTAAGTTTGAACAAAGTTTACTGAAGTTCTTTGTCTCACTCTTAAGTTCTCTTCTGATTCTTGGAAAGAGTTTCTCAGTTGTTTATGATCGGCAAGTAAACCAAAAAAATACAATTCAATTGAAACTTAGGGGTGAAAATACTTCAGTTCCTGAGAAATGTGCAAAATTTAATTTTTAATAATTTAGTTGCTTTGAAGTTGAAGGAGAAAGGGAACAGAATTCACCATTAGAAGTTTGCAACCAAAGCTGCAATGCTTGATTAGTTCAACATATAAACGTGATCAAAATACATAAAAACTTCGAAAACATTTGAAAAACATCTAAAACTGTTCACCAAATATTTGACGACGTTGCTTCACGTTATTATGTTGAATTTTAATTGGGATCACACGAATAATTACATTTGACCGTATGGTATGTCCCAAATCTTATTCATCACAGATTTCCTGCATTAACGTTTTCCACGATGAGAAAGCAGTGAGAAACTCCGGGAAATGCCATCCAGAATACAAAGGGAAAGGCTGCCTAACACGTGAGAAACATTCTATGTTTTCAACTTCCATAAGCCCTTACCATGCGCTTTTCCATTGTACCTACAAGTGAAAAACAAAACAAAGACAGAAATACAAACACGGGTGTGTCATGATTCACATCTCATTCGGTCCAGCTATACCAAGAGGACATTTACATTTGACTGCAAGAGTAAATGGCCCTAAATATCTCACATCCCTCATATCTAAATTTCTCTGCTCACCAAGGATAGCCATCCGCGACCAAGATGGCCCCGAATGGATAAAAACTTAGCACAACCATGCGTCAAAGCGAAATTATTTGGCAATTGACCCTGAACCATGACACTAAAAAGTGAAACATATTTAAATTCGCAGCTGTACTTGGCTGGTCTTCCCGTCATCCTGCTCTGTCCTGCAAGCACATTTTGGAAGCTGGAGTCTCAAAAGGAGATGGAGAGTACTGGATCAACTCTGAGAAAAATGGAAGTTCTTTAAAAGTATTTTGTGACATGACAACTGATGGAGGTAAGCACTTTAAATAACTCTTTTCTGTAATTTTGGCTGTGTATAGAATAGCAAGGCTGCAGAGGCAAACTTTTGTGGTGTTTGAACCTGAGATAAAAAACTAAACTAAAAACAATGAAAATAATTAAATGCAGAAATAAGTCGAATGGAGAAATGGAGCCAAACCAGCAGAATTTTTTTAAAGACTCTTTTAGAGTAGTACGAGCTGAAATACAGAGAAAAACTCCAGCTCGTGGTCTAAGCAGGGTTTCAATCTGGAGCCACTGAGGTCATAACAAACGAACAAAACCATTCTACCATCTCGTCTTCTTTAGATAGATAAGGCCGGTAGGTAGAGAAGGAGACAATACCTTTGCGCTGTGGCGCAAAGGCATAACTAGAAGTAGCCCATTTTTTATTGTAAGAACAAGAGAGGGTCATAGAAGAGCTGTTCGTCGGTTCCTCAAGAAATGCGATTCACATTTTCCTTTTTAATTTCTGGCAGGAGGCTGGCTCTTGATCTATAACGTTATTGCCGGGGGAACTGTGCCCCCAACCAGCTTGACCATTGAAAAGACATATGCAGGAGTCAGTCGTTACAGCAGCAATAGAATGGTTCTCTCTCCTGACGGTATGCGAGAGCTGAGATCCCGCATATCTTTCACTCAGCTGAGATTCCACTGCCGTAAACAGCAACATGGACGAACATTTCATGTCAAAACGGCCGCGAACAGCTCTGGTGAAGCTGTAGTTAGGTTTTTCGGCGGTGATACCGACGTTTTTCCCAAAGCGTGTGGTTCATTCGAAAAACTCAAGGGAGACAACTCAGTCCTTGCAAGTAGATGCGCAGAATGGGGGAGGGAAAACGGCGCGTATCATGTTGGAAAATGGGGACATGAAGGGCATAAGGAGCTGTATATATTCTCAGCATTCATTAAGGATCACCATCATTGGGCCACTTCGCCAGTCCATCACAGATGGGAATGTGATGACAATCGAAAAGATTTGACACGCGGCGACTTTTGGAAGATCTATGTCCGTTAATTAATGTAACGCTTTGCGACTCTTTAGTGGAAACCCCGTAACTGGCGTTGAAGGAGCAAACGAAGATACGTTAAGATTAGAGCATCTTGAACTCTTAGCTCAAGATTTTTGCGTCTGTCGAAAATCCTTTCTTTATCCGTAATTGGTGACTTCCCCAAATCTAATGTACAAGTCAGCTTCTGATAATTTTAAAGATCTTTGAATCAACTCATCATCTTAACAACTTGGCAAAACAAAACTTTCATGTAGTATCTTAGTAACAGCGTATCTAAAGGCACTATTGTTGTATTCTCAGAAACCGTCGGGCCTCTCTTGGGAATTGGTATTTTCTGCACATCTTAGACATTATTTCTCAACTTTTCTGTGTTATTATGGATGGGAAGAATCGCAATACACACCTGAAGCACGTCACTCAAGTTTTCAGGGGCGTGTACTTTATATGCAGCCCGCACTCTTTGTTGGTTTTGCTGTTATAACAATAAATCGGCATACTATAACACATTTTGTATCGATCATTGACCAATCAGGGATGAGATGCTTTGTTGCGAATACAATTTATAACATAGTGCGCGTGCTTTCCCTCTCTAAGTCTTATTGAGCCGCCAGGAACAAAATCTTTATTTACGCACGCCCGTGCGTAAATAAGATGACGTGAGCAATTTTTTTTACCTGGCTTCAGAGTTTCCGCCCTGTGAAGCTGCAGTGCAGTTTTCCTTCTCTTTGAAATATGGAAGAAACCACCGAAGAACTACCCAATTTTTCTATCGGCATTGACCTTTTAGGTCCTGATACAACAAGCAACGAAAGTAAAGCCGAAAAAAACTCGCAAGTTGCACGTTTCGCAAATTTGTCTTAATAACTTCGGGTCTTTGACTTTTAAAACATTTTTTAGTGACACTTGAGTTCATTTGGCTTTCATTTTCTCCATTTTCCCGGTAAACTTTGAGCTTTTCAATTGTTATCAGTTAAGTGGATCAAAAGTTCTCGCTCAAACCAAAGTATAAATGTGGCATGTTTTTGACCAGCCAATAGAGACGTTTGTTTTTATTATTTTTTGTGCGTTGTGAGAATTTTGCACTCTATCACAATAAGAGACTTCTTCGCACAGATCCTTGTTGTCACTCTGCTATAAAAGAATTTGCTCATGCTTTTAGCTGTGCGTATATCGAGTTATGGATAAACTTGGGAAGTTTAGAGGGTCGCTCTAACATTTCCTCCAATCAGGAAGGCAGCTTTCAGATCTTCCCACTTGTCACAAGTTCGGTCAATCTTGCTGCATTTTTCATCGGGAAGTGTTTAGCTCTTTGTTTCGTAATTATTTACCGAAAAAGTGCACGTCTTCGTGGGCCACAACTTGGCTGGATTCCATGCCACCGGACAAGAGACATTAAGTTTCTTCATTTTTAAATTAATTAAAAACGAACTTTAAATTGATGGGTTCCCACTCCAAAAGCCAATTAAAATTGATATTATAGGTAAGATCCACTTTGCGATTGACAGCTGTTCGCTCGCTAGCCAATCAAATACTTTGGACCATTTGAACCAGTAAGGTAGTCTTCCTCGCAGCCGTTTTTTGGATGTCACGCAAAGTTCGTTGTTTTGGGGGAACGTTGCGTGACATCCAAAAAACGGCTGCGAGGGAGACTACCACTAAGGTTGCTTTCGAAAGGTTGTAAAAATTTTGAGAAGTTCGCTAACTCTTTCAAAAAAGAAAAAGGAAAAGCATAACACAGCTCGCAATTTTATTTTATGAAAAATAAAAACCCTAAAGAGATAAAATAAGCCCTCAAAAGCAATTAAAAGATTAAGACTTAACTGAAAAAGAGCTTTGAGTTATAAATGATGTTTATATTTAATTAAAATTGTCATCCGATAAGGAGGGGCCCTAGCTACTTGGGCAGGAAAGCAAATTAAGATGAATTAAAGTGCCTATGACACGAAATTTGTTTTTGCATTTCCTGACTGATAACTGTATTTTAAATAGATTCGTGTCATAGGCGCTTTAAAGGAGACAGATACAAATGCAGATTATGTGAAGATTTCGAAAAGTGTGCTAACTCCTTCAAAAAAAGAAAAATGGAAAACATAACAAAATTGCAATTTCATTTTTTGAAAAAAGATAAACTGCCTTTTTAAAAAGAGGGAAAATAAGCCCACAAAAGCAATTAAAGGACTAAACTTAATTGAAAAAGAGCTTTGAATTATAATTGATGTTTACATCTAATTAAAATTGTTATCCAATAAGGAGGGGCCCTACTTAGCAATAAAGCAATGAATAAAAAGGAATCATAAATTATAAATAATAAATAATTAAATTGTGAGTAAATGAAGCTCTGCTGATGTACAGAGGAAGGCAAATATAAGAAAGCTGATATGCAACGAGAAAACTAAGGAGCTCCACCTGGACGATTGTTACTCTTAACATCCTCTTGGGAATATTGTTTGTCCTGGCAAACAAAGACTTTTGTGGAAGCATTGTTGAAACTCGAGTCGGTGAGTAAATACTTAAAAAAAATAAATAAAAAAAAAAGAGAAAAAACCGATTCTTATACTCTCTTTCCATGGCGAGTAGTTACTTGAAAGAACGTTTTTTTGCCTTTCAGACCATGACTTGGTAGGTCATGTTATCCAGACCACTGATGTTGTGGACGAGTTTGAATGCCAGTTAAAATGTATGGGAAATAACAGCTGTAAGTCGATCAATGTTCATCGCGGTGACAGCAATGGAAAACGTAGCTGTGAGTTGAATAATAAAACACGGCTAATGAAGCCAGGTCATTTTAAAAAGCAGAAAGGACCTACATACTATGGCTCTGTTCAGGTGGGTTCTAGGTTGAGCAGATTTGTTGATAACTTTCTTATCTTATTCACTGCCAAGAACAATGTTTCGGAACTACTGCCATATACTAATGAAAACAGAGAATCAGCTGTTACTGGGTTATAAACAGGTGTTCGCTTCGTAAACGGAACACCAGACGCTTAAAAGTCTCGGGCAAACGTTTCTCCAAGCTATCTTCATCTTTTGGCAATTCCCGTTTTGCAACAACCTGCGAACCCAAAGGTTTCTTTTCTGCTTGTATAGCGTGTTCTGAGTGTTGACATTAGTGTAAGGGCAACGTCAAGTTTCCTTTTTGAAAACGCATAGTAAGCGTCTGAATACTGATTACGAGAAAACAAGCTTTGTTTACTCTGAACAACGATGGATGGCAGAACAGGAAGAAAAAAGTTCACTTTTCTGTTTTACTAATCAGGCCTCCTGCATGGATGTTTCCCGCGGGCGAAAACAAACAACTAAAAGCGGTCAGTGTCATCCGGAATACAAAGGAAAACATTGTGAAACACGTAAGTAGTGAGACTGTTCCAGAGAAATTCTACTTTACACATTGCCAAACAAAACTCATGAGTGCTATGAGAATAGTGTAAATTTCAATTGGGGACTCTTGTTACAACGCATTTCTGAAGATAAATGCGGACAGTCATGTTCAGGTTTTTTCCGGTGTGTGAAGATTAATAAACCCATCAAGATTAAAGCTTATTTCCTTTTCAGCTACCAGAGGCTTATATTTCAATCAGCCTGGTCATTCCTGTAAGGACATCTGGGATTCAGGTTTTATTAAAAACGGCGGAGAGCACTGGATCGACCCTGAGAAAAATGGAAGTTCCTTAAAAGTGTTTTGCGACATGACAACTGATGGAGGTAAGCACTTTTAATAGCTCGTTTCTGCAATTTTGGCTATGTATAGAAGATTAAGGCTGCAGAGGCAAACCCCTTGTGGTGTTTGAACCTGAGGAGAAAAAATGTTGCAAAATAATTAAATACGGAAAAAACATTCAAAGAATACTACAGAGAAACGAAAACATCTGTTTTAGGAGAGGAGCCAAAACCAGCGGGATTGTTTAAGACCCTTTTAATAAGAGCTGAAATGCAGAGAAACGCTCCAGCTTGAGGTTAAGCAGGGTTATTATGTGGAGCCACTGAGGTGATATAAAACGAACAAAACCATTCTACTATTCTCTTAAAGTGGATAAAGCCAGTAGGTAGAAGGAGAGACGATACCTGTGCGCTGTGGCGCAAAGGCATAACTAGAAGTCGCCCATCTTTTATTGTAAGAACAACGGACTTGTTTCTGGTCTCCCAAGAAGAGCGATTCACATTTTCTTTTATAATTTTTGGCAGGAGACTGGCTCCTAATCTATAACGTTATTGCTGGGGAAACTGTGCCCCCCACCAGTTTGAATATTGAAAAGACATATGCAGGAGCCAGTCGTTACAGCAGCAACAGAATGGTTCTCTCTCCTGACGGTATGCGAGAGCTGAGATCCCGCATGTCTTTCACTCAGCTGAGATTCCACTGCCGTAAACAGCAATATGGACGAACGTTTCATGTCAAAACGGCCGCGAACAGCTCTGGTGAAGCTGTAGCCAGGTTCTTTGCTGGTGATACCGACGTTTTTCCCAAAGCCTGGGGTTCATTTGAAAAACTCAAGGGAGATAATTCAGTCCTTGCAAGTAGATGCGCAGAATGGGGGAGGGAAAACGGCGCGTATCATGTTGGAAAATGGGGACATGAAGGGCAAAAGGAGCTGTATATATACTCAGCATTTATTATGGATCACCATCGTTGGGTCACGTGGCCAGGCCATGACAGATGGGAATGTGATGACAGTCGGAACGATTTGACGCGCGGCGACTTTTGGAAGATTTATGTCCGTTAATTAATGCAACGCTTTGCGACTCTTTAATGGAAACTCCCGTAACTAACGTTGAAGCAACAAACGAAGATGCGTTAAGATTACAGCATCATGAACTTTTAGCTTTAGATTTTTGCACCTGTCGAAAATTTGTTCTTTATCCGTAAATGGTGACCTCCTCATATTTAATTTACAAGTCATCTTCTGATAAACGAGTTCATTTTAAACATCTTTGAAACAACTTATCCTCTTAACACCTGGGAAAAACAAAACTTTAATGTAATATCTTAGTAACAGCGTATCTAAAGGCACTTTTGTTGTATTCTCAGAAACCGCCGGCCTCACTTGGGAATTAGGTTTTTTTGCATGCTTTAAACATTATGGGAAGAATCGCAATATACACCTGAAGCACGTCACTCAAGTTATCAGGGGCGTGAACTTTATGCAGCCCATACTCTTTGCTTGTTTCGCTGTAACAATATTTCGGTATATTATAACACAATTTATACCGATTATTGACCAACCAGGGATGAGATGTTTTGTTGTGAGTATAATATAACAATTTATCAGTCCAATCCAGTCCTCCAGTCCAGTCCATACGACTCCTGATAAGATCATTCAATCTTTTTTTTTTATTGTAAATAGATGTATTCTTACATGTCTTATAGAGAACGTTGTTCATAGCGGTTTTTCAGATAAATTAACGCCAAGAAGTATACGATGAACTACGTAAAAGCAGGTAACGTTAAGTAGGCATGAGTGGAAAGGAGATGGAATTTAGAGCACTTAGTGCAGTTGCCATTTCTGAAGTAAATTTAAGCTCAACAGATTGTAGTCCTATGTATGATTCTCTTATAGCCTTGTCATCATGAAACCAATAGTTCAGTTCATTCATAGTTACCTCCATCAAGAAGGATTAGCTTATCTTGTTATGATTTATCTTTTGCTTTGTTTTAATTTGTTTGTTTATTAAGGAAGATATTTCTTGGTAGCGTGGGTGTCTATCAACTTTTGTTCTACTGCTTTATTTTTGGGGGATCCACACAATATAATGCAGGTAAAAGCTTCGGTTATATTATCCTATCAGTCTGCACAAGAAAAAGAGGCGAAATGTGGATTTGTTTCGGTCTTCAGCAGGTGAAATAAAACAATGGATCCATAGAGAGCTGAGGATTAGTGACAACATACGCGCTCAAAGTTAGAGCAGGTTTCAATTGAGCAACCAAAGTGACCCCGGATTGCTTTTCATCTGGAAACTCGTGCCGCTATCTCACCGAATTAAATATAAAGCTAATCCCAATTCCACTCGCGTTTTCCCGCGCTTCAAGTAAGCTGCCTATTTTTTATTTTGAGGTCCTATTGGATAATTATTATGTTAACCCTTTAACAGCCATGAGTAACTGAGACAGAATCTCTCCATGCAATATCAATGCAATATCAACCAGACAAGTGATGAGAATAAAGAAAACTATCAATTTCGGGACAATTAGTCGATCCAATACTAAATTCTCTGAACTAAAATTATAAGAATTGTATGGTTGACAGTAAGGAGAATTACAAATTTGGTCTGGGAGTTAAAGAGTTAACCTTTCTTGTTCTGATCGGTAGCTTTGATTATTTTGATTTTAGTTTTTCGAAATTGGATTGAAAACTGTTCTATGTGAAGTTTAGGTATTTTAGCGAGTAGAAATATAAATTGCATAATAAATATAAATCGCTTTTGTGATCATAATTTATGTTTTAAAAAAGAAATGTAGCGTGTTGTAAAAAGGAGCACGTTTAATTTCACCAACACAGCGGTCAAACTTCTGCGCATGTGCAGACGTTGTAATAGCCCATGGTGTTCTTTCACGCTGCCAGGACCAAGTTGTCTCACAATGAGTCACAGTGTCTTAAAAGCTTATAACTTTCATGAGTTTAAAACAAACAGTCACCCGTGAGCAAATAACCTCTGCATGCGAAAAGTCTTAAGTTTTCCTGTTCTCTACTTTCATTTCCCTTTACAGTTTCTTGAGTCACAGTGGTCGTTACTTATGTTTTCCTATTTAAATTTTACACGAGAAATGGACGAACGGTCAGCCAAGATTGACTCATTTGCGCAAGCCTTTAGTGTGGCCGCTGAGTTGCATTCGCCGGCTGGTGTTCTCGACAGGCTGCAAAGATTAATCTCCAAGACCAGTAGAATGAGGCCTGACTAAAACAGTAAGAGGAAAGCATATCACTGTATTCATCTTCTCTCTGAACTGCTGGTTTAACATAGCGTAAGCGAACGGATTGACAGCAGAATTAAACAAGATCATCGTAATAGTGATATTGAAGGAAAGTGTCCGATGTCGTAGGACGCGATATAGCAGTGGGTAAAGACAAGTTCATTTGTGAGCCAACAGATTCCAAAGATAGCACTGACAGTGATTACCATTAAGGTGACTCGCTTCCGCACCTTAATCAAACCCTGGAAATCCAAAATTGAAGAGTTCTTATCACCACGTGATTTTATCGATTTTTAATTCAGCCAATGGCTTGCACTATTCACTTCCTTTACCCTTCAAAGATCACAACTTATTAGCAGTTGGTCCGAATTACGGTTAGATCGCACCATAGTTAGATCACTCCCAGTTGGATCGCTCCAATCAAAGGTTAGATCGCTCCACTCGAAAGTTAGTTTGCTCCATCAGATAAGTTACTTCGCTCCCAACATGTTACTTCGCTCCATGAAGAAAACTGAGGTAAAGGTAGCAAAACTAAGCTACCTAAATTGATAATTCATTAAATGACGTGTATTTCTTACCTAAAAATCGATGAATATTGCTAGCGCGTTTGAAATAAATCCGAGCTACGCGGAAAGAACAAATAAAGCTTCATGTAACGGACTCACGAAGTGTAACCACGATCATTTATTCCACTATCGCTGTAAATGTAGCCACCTATATATATATATATGTGTTATTTGCCGGCTGGGAGGTCCGTATGGTGAAAAACTGTGACAGAGGTCTTGAAAATACTGCCCGAGGCCGTAGGCCGAGGGCAGCATTTTCAAGACCGAGGTCACAGTTTTTCACCATACGGACCTCCCAGCCGGCAAATAACATATTTATTGTTTTTAAACTTGACGAAATTCTTTCCGAAAGAACGCGAATGATTTATGGCCGTAAATACGGCAAGATCTTCCATAAACTGAACAATTTTTGAGTGAGTAAATGGTAGTTGAAATAATGCAAATTTAAGAGAGATGCCTCAGCGAAACATTTTCATTTCCGTAACGATAAAGGTGATTTAAAAGGCTTCCAAACAAACTTTGAAACATTATTTTTACAAGTATCTGTCACAATCTGACACCTGTCAATTAGAGAGCGCGCAAGAAAAAAAAAGCGTAGGAACATTTGAAAACCAACAGAACTAGTTTAGCAAGGACTGTCACGCCAATATTTTCTTCAAAATCAGTCAATGATCAAACGGAAAGTATTATTCACTCTCATCGACCATTCATTCATGTACGAAGATTTACCTCTGTTCATTAAGTAAACGGCGAGGAAAGTAATTGTGAGTAAATTCAATTTTTTTATTTTAAAGTTGTGAGAGTTTGCTCGTTTGTTTGCTGTAATGGCGTGTTTAACTCTGGTCTTTCCTTCACAAAAACTAAATTCGAACGGCACACTCCAACGAGACACAATGGAAATTATAAATTATATATGGAAATTATAATTATAAAAGGCCCCCCCAAAAAAATTAAAGAGGCTCAGGTGATATCCTCAGTCGCCATGGTTGCCGTTGGTTTACTTGTAGAAGACTTTAATTGTATGACCACTGCGCGCTGTGAATACAATATATATATACTTTTTAGAAAAAGTTGGAATCCTGCCATTTTATTTTATTAAAATATTTTCTTCCTTTTTTATTGCTAAAAAGTTGGCTTCTGATATGTAACGTTATAATAAATCAGTCGTCTCCCCTGATCAGTTTGAATGTTGAGAAGTCATACAATGGTATCAGTCGTTACAACCACACCAAGCTGGTTCTTTCACCTGACGGTATGCGAGAAATGAAAACAATCTTGCTTTTCCATCAGCTGAGACTCCACTGCTGTAAACAGCAACATGGACGAACTTTTCACGTCAAAACAGCCATTAACGCCTCTGGTGGAGCTGTAGTCGGATTTTTTGGCGGTGACCGACGTTTTCCCAAAGCCTGTGATTCATTTGAGAAACTTAAAGGAGACAACTCAGTCCTTGCAAGTAGATGCGTAGAATGGGGGAGGGAAAACGGCGTGTATCATGTTGGAAAATGGGGACATGAAGGGAAAAAGGAGCTGTATATATACCCAGCATTCCTCGTTGGTATGATCATTGGATCACTTGGCCAGGTTCTTACGTATGGCAATGTGATGGCAAGAGGAAAGATTTGTCGCGCGGCGACTTTTGGAAGATTTATGTCCGTAATTAGTGCAACGCTAGCGACTCTAGCTTTAGTGGAAACTCCTGAAACGGGCTTTGAAAGAGCATCTGAAAAAACGTTAAGCTTAGAGCATCTTGAACTTTTCGCTTAACAATTTTGCGCCCGTCGAAAATCCGTTCTTTATCCATAAAGCGGGTAACCTCCTCATATTTATTTTTTGATAAACGAGTTAATTTTAAAGAAACGGGCTTTGAAGGAGCATCTGAAAATACGTTACGCTTAGAGCATCTTGAACTTTTCGCTTAACAATTTTGCGCCCGTCGAAAATCCGTTCTTTATCCATAAAGCGGGTAACCTCCTCATATTTACTTTTTGATAAACGAGTTAATTTTAAAGAAACGGGCTTTGAAGGAGCATCTGAAAATACGTTACGCTTAGAGCATCTTGAACTTTTCGCTTAACAATTTTGCGCCAGTCGAAAATCCGTTCTTTATCCATAAAGCGGGTAACCTCCTCATATTTATTTTTCGATAAACGAGTTAATTTTAAAGATATTTGAATCACTTATCCTTTTTTCCCTTGGAAAAACAAAACTTTAATGCAATATCTTAGTAAAATTTGCTTTCACTCCT